TATTTCCCCTAGGACAAAAAAAATACACTGATGAGATATTAAATTAAGATAAAGTGATGTACCGAAGATCCCATAACTATGGATAGGAAAACCATGTTAGACCCCAGATTTTGCATACATTTGTATTTTTCACCACGTAGTACTCTTTTATCATATATATTATTAAATTTGCTTTTTTTTGGATACTTATTTCTTACTAGTGTTCCCTTTGAGAAGACAAAGAGAAAAATGATTCTCTTTATACTTTTTATGTAAAATGCAAAATTATTTATGTCTGATACCATTCCTAAAAGATTCTTGTACTGGTATTTTGTGAAATTACCAAGTAAGCATTTGCTCTTTAAAAAATATTGAGCTAAAATTTTGAGTGATTGGTAATATACTTGTTAAATATAAGTATAACTTTAATTACTTTAGGACCTTTAATTTTAAAATTTTATACAAGTACATACATTAAACTTGAAGTGATAATTAGCAAATATTCAAATAAACTGATTTAATTATTCTCTAACAGATTTTTTACTAAATATATTACTCTAGGTTTGCTGATATATTGAGAGCAAATTCATGAAAACCAAAATAATTTTCTGAAGCTAAGCATGGGCAATGTGCTGATCAAGCTTCACAACATTAATTCAAAATAAAGCTTTTGGCCCCATGAAATTTTTTTCATGATCTCTACCTTTCTGCTCTTTTCCTTTATTTTTGGCTCCTTTCCTTTTTTGTTTTGTAAGTGATAGCAGATCAAACACCTCCAAAATTCAAAATCATTTCACTAATTAGGCAATTATACAATTTTTATTTTTATTAAAGTCAAATATTTTTACCACAAAATTATACTAGAAATGACTCTAGCACCAAGAAATAATGAACATTTTTACCATATACTGTCAGAATATTTTTAGTGATAGTCTAGACCTCCATATGCACCAAATGTTAGTAAATTACATTGAAAACATCAGTTAAATGTAAAATGTCATGTGATGAAAATGACTAAACAATGAGATGTTGCTAAACTTAATATTTTCTGAGAAGATCTATGAATAGAATACTGATGTTTTGTACTAAATTAATAGTATATCTTTAGATTTTCAAGTTATTCCCATAGAATACGAAGCCCCATGGTTCTTACTTGAACTCTAGCCCTACTAGCCATAATAAAACAAAGTGCCTTCTGCATGTGAGAACTTACACAACGTAATTGGAGATGTGAGTTTCAAAGTCTACATAATCCTTTGAGTTTCCTTGTCAATATTACTTATAATAAATCTTAATTCTCCCTTATAGACAAGAAAAGTATGGCACAAAGATAGTGACAGATTCTGCAAAGGTCAAGATAAAAGGTATCAAAATAAACTCTAGTTATATTGACCTAGGTTTGACCAGTTGGTAGAGAGGTATAGTATCAATTTTGAGTAATAAATATTTTTAAAGCAGGTCCTGCCTCATTAAAATATTGATATCATTAACCCATATAAAACACTACGCAGAATTATCTGCAACATATTATACTCCATATCCTCACAGTTCTTAAATATAAGATATATGCCCTCCATAAAGAACTTTTCCTTTAGTGAATGAAACTACTTTGAGTCACTCACAGACATAGCACTTAACTTCCCAATACACTTTGAACAACATCATATTCAAAATTTCCAATAGTCCACAAAGTAAAAATCATTCATTCCTCTTATATATATTTATGTGTCATCTACCTGTAAAGGTTTCTTCTTAACTGACTGGTAAAGATACCTCATTTCAGAGAAGAAAACTAAGTTTCAATGAATTGAATGACTTGTAGAAGACCTTATGATCAGTAATTCAAAAATCTTGATCTTTTGATTGCCAAACAATACTTATTTTTCTACACCATGATGTGTAACATATTTTACACTGCAGCAAGTTGTCTCTTTCAATTCATGCAATGCATAACTCACTCTGTTAAGCTAAACAGGAAGAAAATATCAAACAAGTCTGAGTCCTGTTTTATGACTCATTATTCAGGCTTCTGGGGAAGTAAGATGAATAGAAATAATTTCTGCTTACAATATATTTTTCTTTCTCACTCGCTTTTGCCTTCCTGTATAGAATAGAGTAAAATAAAAACAGACTGTCTTTCTGGAATTTGTAGCTTTTAAATGTAAAAGACAAAGGTTAATTAACAAAAGGCCTTCTCAAATTTCAGTAATAAATATCTCTTTTATGATTCTTGATAAATTTTAAACTTTGATCAAACTCAGTAACTCCAGTACAAACCATGGAGACCCAATACAATACAATGTATATATCCAGTAACTATTTTAGAATATTCAATCGGTATTTAGATAGCCTGCACAAAAATCAACCAAGTAGTGTTTCTTTTTTATTTTGTGCTTTAAATATTCAGGCTAGACCTCTTTTCCCTACTTCTTATTTATGGAAAAAGGGTAACTGAAGAGATTTCTGTATTCATTTTTAATTATCCTCTGCTCCTTTATATTTGTTGTTTTCTTGATTATGTAATTCCGTTTCTCTTTTCCTTTTGAGTCTCAAATGTAAGAGACAGTCTACCCAACATAAAAGTAAGGTACTTAACACTACCCAACAAACTACTTTTTAGCGGGAGGAGATGGTGAATTATTAACTACTGTGTTTGATACTCCTAAGACCTCTTATATTCTATTTTGAGAATAAAACAAAATAACTATCAAGGCAGAGATTGCTTTAGTAAATGGGGTGCAGATGTCCCCAAATGAAATGCTGATTTTTCTTGGTAGACAAGTAAAATCAAATTGAGGGTTTGTTCCTACTAACTTTTGCACTTATTGTATGTATGTATTATGTATGTATGTATGTATCTGTTTACTTATTTATTTATGCAATTGCCACATGGGTGCAGATGTCCCCAAATGAAATGCTGATTTTTCTTGGTAGACAAGTAAAATCAAATTGAGGATTTGTTCCTACTAACTTTTGCACTTATTGTATGTATGTATTATGTATGTATGTATGTATGTATCTGTTTACTTATTTATTTATGCAATTGCCACTTAACATTTAGTTTAGAATTAAATTGATTGGGAAAACTCTATCTGAATGTCACAACATTTCCCCAGGGATAAAAACTGTCAGGGGTTTCCATACACTTTCATGAGTTTAGAAGGGTGAATTACAGTTATTTATTTCAGTGACTAAATCTCCAAAGAGATTAGGCAAAGGAAACTTTTACTTTATGTGGTTTAAGCTATGTACAGAGTAAGTCTGCCCCCTCAACCACCGAGAAGGGAACTGCGGCTATATACCCACTGGCATGCATTCTGAAACGAATTCCCAGATTTCATTTTATGCTCTACTGACCAGAGGAGTCCGTATATGCTAATTAATTGACAACCAAAATAATAGTCTAACCACATGTTTGCAACTCTCTTAAAATGTGATTAAATTTTCCATATGGTTATTTCATTTGCACATCTCTGAGACTGAAAAAAAAATTGGATTGTGTCAAGAACACATTAGAGGAATCCAAATCAATGATGGATCTTTCTGTTCCTCTGATGATCATTTCTGACCTATCTAGGACAAAAGAGCCCCCTAGGAACTCAGTGACATAAATGCCTCTGCTCTTTTTCTGCTAAGCGAGCAGGTTTATTGTAAGTGGTAAGTGACACTTAAGAATGATTTTTCCTGAGAGTGTAATTGTTATTCTCAGCCAATGCAAAGCAAGGATCCATCACCCCACCAACAAGTACCATTGCAACAACCTCACAGTTTTGTGTGTGTATGTGTGCGAGTGTGTGTATTAAAATCCAGAAAGAGGGTGAGTGCGGAAATGTGCTGGAAGTATTTCATTATGTTATATATGACCTACAAAATGAAAAGAAAAGTCTCCTGAACTCTTAATTGTTGAAAAAAACAAACTCTTTCCACAGAATTTATTATGTATATACCATCACATGTATTTACAGAGCTTTAGTTGTCCATCCTTATCAGTACTCTCCACGGAACTGAATGTGCTTATTGGAATTAATCTGGTTCTTCAAATGTCAGGCATAGGTTATAAATTTGTATAACTGCTTTTACCCAGTGAACCCTTTTTATTAAAATGCTTATCAAGGTCACTGTGAAAGATTGTTATTTTAAAGCTCCAAAAGAAGCTTCCAGAAATGAGAATGAAGTTTTAAAGCTCCAAAAGAAGCTTCCAGAAATGAGAATGAAGAAAAACCAAATTCAATTCACATTTTAACGTTTATAATTTATTAATAACCTATTGGCTCCTGTCACTTTCTGTCTGTCTACAAATACATTTTGTAGAACTACTAAGAGTGTTAGCAAAACCCAGGTCTCCTGAAGAGACACAGTAAAGCTTCTCATTTTCTGTCTTCTAGTGGGCCTGGTTTAAACAAGCAATCTTGAGATTTGAAAAGCTGGAGAGAGGATGCTATGTAAAAATTTGTTTCTTTAGATAAAATTATACAGGTGAGGATATGTTTTGGGGGTCAGATTCAGAGAGGGATCAGATGTTTATGTGCTTGTAAGTAGTTTGGTGATTTATAACTATACAAAATATATGGTTAAACCATCTCTTTTTCAACTTTTTGAGTCTTGCACATGATATAAACCAGGCAAATCACTTTTAACTGTATATAAGACCATGAAACACCTTCTTGCAAAATACCAGTTTATCTTACTTTTTAAAGGAAAACAAACAAGACATATACAGATGCAAAAAGATATTAGCGAAGCAGTGGGAAAAATATCTAAAAGTTCTATAATAACTACAGTATGCTTTTGTTACTATTATTGTCACGTAAGAGACTTCAGAGAAGATACAATATCTGACTATTTATTAAGCAAGATATTTCCAAAGACTGCTCGAGGGATAAACAAATAAAAATAAAGCAAAAGTACTTGTTTTCTCCTCAATCTGAAAGGAAAAATAACACTATTAACGTTCTGTCTGTTAAACCTTGGGAAAAGTCATGAGATTTATACACAAAAGAACTAATAGTATTATTACTTACCTGACAAGTCGAGGAAAGAAATCTTTCCAGCTGCTGTAAAGTAGGGTTTTGAGTAGGTCTCCTACTTCTTCTCACAAAGCTATTTCCAAAATAGTTGCAATCCACTCAGGAACATCCTGCTTATTTCAAGAATGTGGGCCTTTGAATATTTCAGCCCCTGCTGCAGAGCCCATGGTTTTTCAGTGCTTCTAAGAACTTCCACTTGACTCTTCTGCCTGCATTCCTCCCAGCCCCCTATAGAAAAATTATTCTTGAAGTTGCTGCTGAGAGTTTAACCAGAGCAAGTGTGCTCAAAGCCCGGTGCCTAGGTGTAGCAGGATGAGGAGGGTTATTTTTCGTCCATCAAAAAAGGGGACAAGGAGGCAGGGGCTATTAGCAGGCACCGCCTTTTAGCTGAGAGAAGCCAGATACTAAGCTGCCCGTGGAGACCACAGTGGTAGCAAGGGCAGTAGCAGCGGGGGCAGCAGCGTAATTTGGTCCCTGTGGTTGCAGCCCAGTCCGGAGACGCTGTCCATACCCTCCGGTGCTGAAGTCAGGGGACTGGAGCCCCGCTGCCGGAACCCAAACCGCACTTTCCTCCACCAGCGAATTTGGCAGCTTCCTCGTCTTCCAGCCTGTCCTGTTTTTCCTTCTGTGCTTTATTTTTTGGCAGGGGTTAATTGTCTCTCCAAAATAAAATCCCCCATACTTATTTGGTGTGCAGCGTTTTGGGAAAGGCAGAAATCCATGGGAAATAAGAGCCTCCCCTGACTTTTCAGTGGCCCTGAACGAGTTTCCTAATGGTTGAAATGAAAGAGATCGCACGAACACGCGCGCGCACACACGCGCACGAGAGAGAGAGAGAGGGAGAGAGAGAGAGAGAGAGAGAGAGAGAGAGAGAGGGGGGGGGGGGGGGGGGGGG